GGGATGGGAGTGCTGGAGACAGTGCAATTGGCACAGGACAGAGCAGAGTTTAGGGCTGTTGTATATAGGGTCGCTATGAGTCGCAAGCGACTCGACGGCACATAACAACAACAACAACAACATATTACAAGCTGGGTCATATGGAATTTTTATGGTTTTCCTTTTGAGGAAACACCAAAGTCTCTTCCAGAGTGATTATACAGTGGTACAATTCCACCAGCAATGTATAAGAGGTCCTATCTCATCACATCCTCACCAACATTTATTACTTGCTGTCCTGTTAAACTTTTCCACTGCTGTTGTTTGGTTTTAAGTGCCATCAAGCCATAGATGACTCATAGCGACCCTATAAATGAAAGACCTGAACAGTTGAATATAACTTTCGTTGTTTCTCCAAGTTCATACAGTTTCGGGAGGCAAGCCATTTCAGAAGTGGATGCCACTCCTGAATTCAAGCTTGTTTTAGTTGAGAAGCTCCACCAAACAATGTCCAACTTCGGTAACTATTATTGCATTTGCCATATCAGTGTCACAGTGTTTCGCATCACAGCAACTATGAGTTACCTCAATACAGCAAATGGACAGATCAGTGCTATACAATACAGAAGAATGTTTGACCAAAAACAATTAAAACCAGGCCCAAGGACCAAATCACATCATGTCACACTCATTAACGAGTCAGCATTCCAACCTAATCCTCACCCAAACGAGCAAACAAGCCTCTGTAGAATCCAGCTGCTGCAGACAACTTCCAATCTGGATTCCAGACACATACTATTGACCAGCGAGTTTTTAAATACGATTGTCATTGCTACTGGAGTGAAAAGTATCTCATTGTGGTTTTGATTTGCATCTCTTTTATTGCCAGTGATTTTGAGCATTTCTTCATGTGTCTGTTGGCCGTTCAAATATCTTCCTCTGTAAAAGTTCTTTCCAAGTATTTTGCCCATTTTGTAATTGGGTTATCAGTCGTTTTCTTCTGGAGGCCGAGAGTATTCTGTAAACTTTCATTATGAGACTCTTGTCTGAGATGGTATTATCAAATGTTTGTTCTTCACTGGTGGGTTTTCTCTTTACCCTGTTGGGAAAAGTTTTTTATGTGCACAGACATTTAATCTTTAGAAGGTCCCATTCATTAATTTTATCCTCTTCAGAGTGAACATTTCTGGCTGTATTTTGCAGTCTCTTTATATCATAGACTAGGCCTTCTAAGCTTGATCCCAGTATGTCTCTTAAGAACTTTATGGTTTGGGGCTTTACTGCCATTTATCTGATCCACCTTGAGTTGATTTTTGTGTTCAGTGTGAGATGTGGATCCTGTTTCAGCTTTCTGCAAGTAGAAGTCCAGTTTTGTGAGCACAATTTGTTAAAGAGGTTGTAATTTCCCCATTTAATAGCTTTTATTTCCATGTAGAATACCAGTTGACTATACATAGTTGAGTCTATTTTTGGGTTCTCAAGTTTGTTCTATTGGTCTAGGTGCCTGCCATTGTACAAGTACCATGCTGTTTTGGTTACTACTGCTGTGTAGTTGGTTTTGAGGCTAGAGAGTGCCATGCTTCACACTTTATTTTTGTTTCTCAGAAGTGTTTTGCTTATTGGGGTCTCTTATCTCTCCAAATAAATTTGAATATTTCCCTTTTGATCTCCTTGAAAATGAATTTTTTATATGGATTGGGATTGCGTTGAAACATGTCTATTGCTCTTGGTAGGATTGTCGTTTTCATGATATTGAGTCTTCCTACCCATGATCAGGGCACATTTTTCCATTTCTTTAAGTCTTTTATTGTGTCTTGCAGAAATGATCTGTAGTTTTCTTTGTATAAATCTTTTCTATCTCTAGTTAGGTTCACTTCCAAGTATCTCAATTTCTGATTGGCTATTGTAAATAATATTGCTTTCCTGGCTTCCTTCTCTGAGTTCTCTTTGTTACTGGAGAAGAATCTCACTGATTTTTGGATATTGACCTTATATCCTACAACTCTGCTAAACTGGCTTACTATCACTAACAGTTTTAGTTTAGTCTTTGGGGTTTTCTGTGTATACTATCTTTTTATCTGCATACAGCTGTCGTTTAATCATCTCTTTGCTGATCTGGATGCCTTTTGTTTCCTTCTTTTGTTGCTTTGCCCTTCCAAGCCTTTCCAGTACAATACTAAATAGAAGTAGTGATAGTGGGCATCCTTGTATGGTCCCTGTTCACAAGGAAAATCTTTTTAGTCTTTCTCCATTGAAAATGATGTTGGCTCTTGGTTTTACATATATACTTTTCACTATGTTGAGGTCCCTTCTATTCCAATTTTGCTGAGTGTTTTAATAAGAAATGAGTGTTGGATTTTGTCAAATGCCTTTTCTGTGGCAGTTGCTAAGATCATGTGGTTGATGTTACCTACTTTGATGGCGAACAAACACATGAAGAAATGTTCTAAATCCCTAGCACTAAGAATGATTCAAATAAAAAAAAAAAACAAACAACTGTATGCAGAACAGATTATCCAAGAGGCTGGGCTCTATGAGGAGGAATGTGGCGTCAGGATTGGTGGAAGATCTATCAACAGTCTGCATTATGCAGATGACACAACCCTGCTTGCTGAAACTGAGGAGGACCTGAAGTGTTTGCTGCAGAAGGTCAAGGACTGCAGCCTCCAATATGGATTGAGGCTCAATGTCAAGAAGTCAAAGATTCTCACCACTGGACCAATTGGCAGCATCAGGATGGATGGTTAAGAGATTGAGATTGTTAACAACTTTCGTTTGCTTGGCTCCACGGTCAACACTCTTGGCACCAGTATCCAGGAAATTAAAAGGCGCATTGCCATGGGAAAGTCTGCTGTTAGGGACCTCTCCAGGGTACTGAAGAGCAATGGTGTCACTCTGGAGACTAAGGTGCATCTGGTACAGGCCATGGTCTTTGCAATTACTTGTTATGTATCAAAGAGTTGGACAATGACTAGGAAGGATAGAAGAAGAATTGATGCCTTTGAACTGTGGTGCTGGAGAAGAGTATTGAATGTACCATGGACTGCTAGGAAAACAAACAGATTCATCCTGGAGAGGGCTGCTCCTTAGTGGCAAGGATTCTGGGACTTCGTCTGACATACTTTGGACATGTTGTAAGGAGGGACCGGTCCTTGGAGAGGGACATCATGCTTGGGAGGGTAGAGGGACAGTACAGGAGAGGAAGACCCTCAATAAGAAGGATTGATTGAGTGACTGGGCTAATTGGGATGGGTGTGTCAGAGGCAGTGCGATTGGCACAGGCTAGAGCAGGGTTTAGGGCTGTTGTACATAGGGTCCCTATGAGTTGCAAGCGCCTTGACAGCACATAACAACAACAGGCCTCCTGTCTACATATGAGCATCATTCTTTGCTAGGCTAGATGACAAAGAGAACATGTATACCTGACCTTAAATGGAGCAAATACAGGATGCAGAAGAGCACTGCTGGACACCAGATAGGTAGATCAAGGGCAGACTCTCCTCTGACCACCTGGGGGTGTATGGGGAAACAGGCAGTGATAATACCTTTTTCCTTGTGAGCCAGTTATTAATATGGACACCTCTGCAATCCGGGGCTCCTATACATTATCAGAATGCTGCATAAAAAATTGAAAAGGGCTGCATCGTGTCAGGTTTGTTCACAATTCACTGCTAGGTCTTCTTTGACTTTTTCATTCAGTTTCTTCTTTCATTTGTTATTTTAACTGCTCTTTTATAATTGCCTTTGAAGTATAAAAATTTTCATTAGAAGATTTTATCTTTGTTTTCTGTTTTGTTTTTTGTTTTGTTTTGTTTTTTTAAGAGGGTCTGGGCTGCTGTCTTTCTATTCCACGATCTTGCTGGTTACTCCCTAAATATTTTATTTGGTTGTCTTACAGGAAACTGCTCTCACTAATAATATAATCAAGAAAATAAGGTAGAAGCATGCTCAATTAAATAATTTATTTTTGTATTGTTTTAACCAGGTGATACTTTGCAAATCTAATAGGGAGTAACATGGACTATCTCCAGAATAAAATGCACACATATCATGCACACAATGACAGAAATTCATTGAACCTCTTGCTTCACTCCCTCCCCGGTTATTTGAATCTCTTCTTCGGAATCCAATTTATCTAAAGAGTCATTGTGCATTGCTTTCTTTGTTTTAGGAATAACGGTTTTACTGTCACTTACTGTCTTCATGCTGCTTGTGGCTGAAATCATGCCTGCAACATCGGATTCAGTGCCATTGATTGGTAAGGCATGTAGAAGAACTTCTTCCTAAAGAGATGAGGTGTTGCAGACCAAGGGTAAAGTATTTTTATAATTATTAATAATGAGACAGACAGCCAGGAATGAGATAGAACAGAGAGCATGAAAAAGAGCCATGCCTCTCTGAGTATTTATTGAGAATTATAAGGAAGGTATTGTTGTTGTTGTTTAATGCCATCAAGTCATAGACGACTCATAGCGACCCTATGAACGAACAGCCTGAGCACTGTTCGTACATAGAGTTTCCAGAGGCAAGCCATTTTGGAAGTGGGTGCCGCTCCTGCTTCCAGGCTTGATTTAGTCGGGAAGCTCCAGCCAACACTGTCCACCATGGGTGCCCA